TACCCGAGCAGCCATCTTGGATTCTCCCTGAAATTTTCTTACTCCTGTCCTCATCCACTTATCCCCATCCCCCCTTTTATAATAGGTTACCATTTTTATCAGTTTCTAGTGTATCCTAGTATTTATTTATTCAAATGCAAGCACACATATGAATGGATATTCTTATTGCCTCTTATTTCTTATTAGAGGCCCGGTGCATGAAAATTCATGCACTAGAGGAGGGGTCCCTCAGCCCAGCCTGCCCCCTCTCACAGTCTGGGAGCCTTCAGGGGCGGAAGGTGACCCAGGAATCAGGGAAGGGCGATGCCCCCATCACACCTCTGCTGCTGCCACTGCTGGCAGCACAAGCTTTGGCCAGCTCTGGTTACCTGAGCCTCTGGCATCCCTGGTTTGCTGGGCAGCCAACATCCTAGGCTTGCCTACGCCTTGGGCGTCAGCTGGGCAGCCGCCATCCAAGGCTTGCCTGCACCTTGGACTGGCCCTGAGCAGCTGGGGGGTGATGGGACTGGGGAACTCTGCAAGCAGGCACATGGAGTGGCCAGGCCCAGCCTTGCCTTGCACTTGCCATCCCAGCAGGGCTGAGGGGAGTGGCCACCACCATCTTTGAGGGTGTGACAGTCAATTAGCATTCCCTCCTTATTGGCTATGGGAGCCTCTATGTTTGAGGCTGGAGCAGTCAATTAGTATATTCCCTTTTTATTAGATAGGATTTTAAAAGTAGCATTCTATATATGTCCAAACCTAGCTTTCTCTTACATAACTGTATTCTGGGAATCTTTTCATATCAAAACAGTTTTCTCATTTCTTGTTTTCAGCTATATAGTGTTCTATGTGAATTAAACTATAGTTTATTTTATCAATCCCCTAACGTTGGAAACATAAAGTGTTTTAAATTCTTTGCTATCCAAATAATGTTTCAGTGGTTAAACTTGAACTTACCTGTTTTATACATGCATAGGTATATTAGTAGGATAAATTTCCAGAAATAAGATTAGTGGGTTTAGGGTAAATACATTTATAATTTTGTTAGACGATGCTAAATTGCCCACCAAAAGGATTATGCCAGTTTGCATTTTTAAGTGCTAAGTTATGGGAGTGCCTATGTCCTTGTAACTTCACCAGAAGACTATTTGTAAGACTTGTATTTTTGCTAATTTGATTATTGAGAAATTTCTCATTGTGTTTTTTTTTAAAATTTCTCTTATTTAATATAATCATTTCAGAAACACTTTAATTTTTAAAAGTGTTAAATAATACTCTTTTTTAAAGACAGTTATTGAAATGAGCAATGTTTGAATATAATTCTAGAAATTACTATACATATTATTAGAAGGTGTTTGTAGTGAAAGAAGGGGTCTCAACCTCTGAGGAATTCAAAACTGCCAACCCACTCCTACTAAGCAAATATCTAACCCTATAAGCATTTTTTACCCTATATCAGAACTTTCTATGAGAGAAAAGTAAAAGCTCACATTTTATCTTTATTTTTATTTATCTACTTAATTTACACTTTATTAACTATAAAAGAGTAACCAGTAACTGACTGGTTTGCATAGCTTTAGTGGCCCCATTTATTTACTGCAAAGTGGAAAATGATCCTTTCTGAAAGGTAACACTGATCCTTTAAATATTGTGTGTAAAGATATGCAAAAGATCAAATCCTTTTTAGTGAACATGATTTATGTAAATTCCACCTCCTCTGACATATTCATTGCCAGACATTTTGCAGCTATCTATAGCTAATGTAAATTTATTTTAAGAAATAAAGTATGTGCCAGGGGGTAGGGGAGGCCAGGGGAAGGTCAATGGGGAAAAAAGGAGACATATGTATTACTATTTCTAATACTTTAAGCAATAAAATAAAATTTAAAAAAAAAATAAAGCCTAAAGGCTAGAACTAATGTTGATACAGAACATATGTACCTTCATTGACAATAGTTGCAAAGTAAAAGTTTTATATTATTTGAAGGGAGGAAGAAATGAACAGTGTGGTTATAACTTAGGTGTTATAAAAATTAATGAAGCTACAAAGATTGTTGAAGCTTTCAATACATAAGAGCATGTAAGATCACTAGATGAAAAGAATAAGGTACAGGCAATTACTTTTAGCATGGATTCCTCATCTTAGTTATTCTGCTACTTAATCATCTTACTAATAAGTAATAAAATTACTAATAAAATCAATATATTTGTAACAAAAATTCCTTCCTCATTGTCTGTTGGATGAAGAGTCAGAAAAATCTCTGTTCTGGTCCTGTTTTAAACTGTCATGCCCTGTGCCTTACTTTTCCCATTAGTAAAGTAACTTATTTCTTGCAAATTTGAGAAGGAACAGTTGAATAGTATTAATGGAGAAAATAACTCACAAAGGGCCACAATCTTCCTTCTATTATAGCCTTTCTCAAACAGGGTTCTGTGAGGGAATATAAGCCTTATAGAGAATGATTCAAGTGATTTCTTAGTTCTCTTTTAAGGATGGTACATAGCTAGTACTATTCTAGATTTCATAGAAGATAAGTTAACTCATTACATGGTCTGGTGGAACTCTGGTGGAGAAGGACTGTATATCTAGAGAATATCATATCAGGAAATTGTTAGCAGTGTAGGTGTCTTAATGGAGTTGAGCAAATGAGTTTCTGCCCAAAACCTGAAAGAAAACCAGTTGTGTTGCTGGCTGGTAGAAATAACTAGCTGGAGTGCTCAGTAATCTGTCTATTATCATTTTTCATTCATCTTTTAAAGTATGTTAGATAGAAATAGTCTACTTTATGTTGGATACTGCTAAATAATCTTACACAGGACAGCATCCACCATCCAACAAATAATTATCTGGCACCAAATATCAATGATGCTAGATTAAGAAATCCTGGTGTTGCCTAAACTGGTTTGGCTCAGTGGATAGAGCATCGGCCTGCAGACTGAAAGGTCCCAGATTCGATTCCGGTCAAGGGCATGTACCTTGGTTGCAGGCTCATCCCCAGTAGGGGGTGTGCAAGAGGCAGCTGATTGATGATTTTCTCTCATCGATGTTTCTAACTTTCTATCCTTCTCTGTAAAAAATCAATAAAAATTTTAAAAAATTAAAAAAAAGAAATCCCGGTGTCATAAAATTAGAGCACTCGTACATTGGTGTTAACATTGAAATTGGTACCACCTATTCTTTTGTATTTTATATTTTGTCATTATTTATTATCATAAAATTAATATAATTTAACAAAAATTCAAGTAATTTGACTTAGAAGGTAGTAAATCCCTGAAATTCTAGCTCTCAGAAATAAACACTATTAAGGTTTTCATCTAGACTATTTCCATTAGGATATTAACATACATATAAATATATTAACCATTTTAAACAAAAAAAATATAGTACTAGACATACTTTCTGTAACTAAATTTTTCCACTTGGACATTGTATTATATTAATACCTCTATTATTCCATCATAAGGATACTCTACAATTTATCTCTCCAATCCCTGTGGATTAATATTTGGTATTTTTGTAATATTATTATGGGTAGTACTACAGCAAACATATGTATGTATAAATCTCTGTTAATCCTTGAAACTATTTCTGTATGCTATATTTTAGAAGTAGAATTTCTAGGCCAATGGATATGATCACTAAAAAATTGAGAGAAATAGTCATATTTCCCTCTAAAAATACAGGTCTATTTGAAAGAGATTATTCAATATATAAAAAGAGGCATAGATATAGTAATACCTTATTTCTAGGAATGTAGCATGAGGAAATAGTCCAATTTTTTTTAAAAGCACAAATATGTTTTCCCCCCACACTGTTATTAATAGGAGCAAAAAGATTAGCAGCAATTTTTAAATATGTAATACTGGGGAAATGCTTTAAATTTTTATGTTATTCCCATTTGGACCAATTTGAAGTCTTAAAAACCAAGGTTAGAGATACTATAATAATTCTTATGTCGTTGTCACTTAAAGCAGCATTGTGATTACAACTAAACATGAAATAGCATACATGTTATAAAAAAGAGAAAAGAAATACAGGTGGAAAAGATAGATCTGTCAGCATTGTGGACTGATTCCCCCTCCCCAATTGTGTATTATATTACTTTCAGAATGTTTTTAGAAAGTATTCATAACAATGTCACTTGCCTCAAGATAAAATGTTGATTGATGTAGAAAAGATGAGTTAGGATTTCATTTCAGAGGCCAGCATCTGACTGAAAAATAAGAAAATAAACCTCTCATTTATTCTCAGCCCATCATGCTTTTCATGTGTTCTCATACATTTTAGTGATTGAAGCATAAACTAGTGATTAATGTGAATCTTGAATGTACATGAACTAATCCAGGGAAGGTAGTCTCAGGAGGCATAGCATTAGATAGTTTGTTCTAAACAGCATTTTGAAAATTGTCATCAGGGAGAAGAAAGGTTTTTGTAGCAATATCCTTTATTTTCTCCAGCTAGCTGGCTATATTTTCATGTTATTATGTGGTCAGATCTCATTTATGGTGGTGGGGTCCCTTATGGGTAAAAAAGCATGACATTAAAGGCCATTTTGTATTTATTGAAACAATATCAAATCTACTGATCTCAAAGTGATCTAGTCACTTTGAACATTTAAATGCAGATGTTTAAATTTTTCATTTGAGTTTGAGTCTCAGAAATTTCGTGGTAACATTACTAGAAATTGATGTTAGAGCTATACTTCAATAAAATAGGTAAAATTAGGAAATTTTAGTTTGGTCTTTTTTAAAAAAAAAAACAAAAAAAAACAACACCTAACTTTTCTTGTTAGCTTGAGCCACTACACGGTTAACCTTTTGACCTTACTTTGGCAATTCGAATCCAAAGTATAGCACTAACATCACTCTGGTGCCTTTTGAGTCCCCCCTTTGAAAATTTCATCTTTTAAGTTCTACACTAGGTAGTGTTTTTATTTATTTATCCATGTAATTATTTTTAGGTAATGTTTTTAAAATAAAAGTTGCTTCTGGAAGTAAGAACAATCTCTTCTTTGTAGCTCAATAGTGGCATACCAGCCAGCTGGAGACAACAGCCACACCTTTGATGTCACAGCCATGTTCAAATCGATTGGGATTTTCCTTGGGATCTTCAGTGGATCTTTTGCAATGGGTGCTGCTACTGGAGTGGTGACAGCTTTAATATCCTTTTATAATATTTATCCTTTCTTATTAACCCAACAATGTAATTGAATGCCGTGTTCTGTGGTCTCTCCTAGTTCTATAATTGGCACTGTGTTATTATTATTAACTTATAACAAAGTACTTGGTTTGAAAACATTAGTTATTCATCTTTACCAATAAAGAAAATAATGCAATTGTTTTATGTAGGATTACATGTCCTCAAACTTTCACTACAAAGGTTTAATTAGGCATAGTCACCCTTTGGGGTGAATTTTAAGGTTGTAGACCAAATTTATATAAAGTTACATATATTTCAAAGAGCCTCTGAGTCTTCTGTTTTGCTGTTCAGCCTGGCAGTCTTTTGCTGTTTATTTAAAAGGAAAAATAAGAAACCTATGACCATTATGCGAACTGAACTAGATAGGGTTCCTGGGCTAAGATAGATGGGAGTTCATCTCAGTTTTCACCAATTTTAACCTTCTACCACAGAGTCCTAGACACTGCCACTAGTTTGTAATTTGCAATATTGGGCAAGTCATTCCTGTATTCATTCAGAAAACATTTTTTATTGCTCACTGTATGCCAGGTGCTATGCTCCTGGGTATCAAAAATGAACAAGACAGACATGGCCTCTGCCTTCTTGGAGCTTCTGGTATAGAAGCATTGACACTTCACCTCATGGGTCCTCTGTGTAGGAAGGTGGGGGGTGAGAGCAGTAGGGAAAATCATTCAGACTAGATGACCTGTAAAGAGCTCCCAGCTCTAAAACTTCTAAGACATTTTGTTATGAAACTAATACTGCTTTCAAGATTCTATAAGTTTGCTATACTACAGCTAAGTACTGAAAGGGACTTACCTTATGGCTTTTTACAGGTGAATTGAGGCACAAAGGGGCAGTAAAAAGAATTCTTCAAAGGAGCTAGGCCCAACAGTATCTCTTCCCCATTACAGTTCCTTGAGGGTAGGAAGTATATCTTATTAATCTTTTTATTGTAGTACAGGTTTATTTAAGTGAATGTAGATTTCAGCCTGAGGTTTATCACAGCTTCACATAGGCCCTTCCATTGTAAACCAGCAAATACTTTTTAGACTAGTGTTAAGTGAGTGACGTGCTTCAGTTTCTTCATCGTGGAATGCTCTGCATCACAGAGGTGTTAGGGCATCAGATAAATGGAAAATCTCATGGAAATTACATTTTAAATAAATATAAATTTCCATAAATATGGAAGCTCTTTTGCTTTGGGTCACAGATTAATAATCAGAGTTGGCATGTAGTGTATCTGATCTGTTGCTCCCATCTCTACCTCTCCTTTACTGTGTGATTTCTGGCAAGGCATGTGATACCCATAAAACAATCAGAAAGACTAAGCTGTTGTTAGACTTCTTCATAAAAGGGATGGCTGCTCACTCAGTAAGATGCTCATTTTAAGAGTTACTTCACTCTGGTGCCTTTTTATTCTGTGGCTTTTGTGTTAGGCAGTAAAGCCTTCTTTTACTTTATATATATATATATATATATATATATATATATATATATATATTTTAACATTTTAAAAATATGTATTTTATTGATTTTTCACAGAGAGAAAGAGAGAGGGATAGAGAGTTAGAAACATCGATGAAAGAGAATCATTTATCAGCTGCCTCTTGCATACCTCCTACTGGGGATGTGCCCACAACCAAGGTACATGCCCTTGACCGGAATCGAACCTGGGACCTTTCAGTCCGCAGGCCAACGCTCTATCCACTGAGCCAAACCGGTTTCGGCCCTTCTTTTACTTTCATGGTTGCCTTGCTTTGACTATTATTTTTTCTAGTTGCACTTCTGTATTAAGATTTTTACTAACCTTAACAGTCTTACGTGACAAAGTTCACCAAATTACGCGAGTTCCAGTTGTTGGAGACAGGCTTGTTCTTCTTGATGTCCTGGAGTACCTTCCTCTTGGCTGAAGCATGGGGTTTCACGGGTAGGTTACTTTCTCCTTTTGATTGTAAACCCTTACAAGAGAGTGACTCTGCTAGTCATTTTTTTATCTCCTAGTAGACCAACTCCTCTAGTATTTGGACATACTTATTAGGGTTGGAATTTATGCTGTCACTTTAGAATGTCAAAAAGATTTTCAATGCAAATGGTATGTCTCAACAAATAAGTCATAACTAAAAATGTCAACACTCAGCGTATAATCTACTTCTGTAAAATAAAAGCCTCGGTAGAAAAGTCGGGAACTCTCCTTTCACATGAACTTTGAACACTTTTCATTGCAGGAGTGGTTGCAGTGTTGTTCTGTGGCATCACGCAGGCTCATTATACGTACAATAATTTGTCCACAGAATCTCAGCATAGAACTAAACAGGTAAGATAAACTTTATAGTTTGTGAATCAAGTTTTTCTCCCTGTAGTGAAACAAATTTGTTCAAAATGATGCCTACTCATTCTGGCTCCTCTTCTCTTATTTTTTAAAATCTTTATTGTTGAGAGTATTACAAATATCTTCCCCCTTTTCCCTCCTTGCCCCCACCACCCAGTTCCCACCCCGCCCCAGGCCTTCACCACCTGGCTCCTCTTTCTTTGACTCCAGAAATAGATGGAATTGGCAGGTTGAAGGGTGACAGTTTTTAGGATAAAGGTAGGTGACAAGAATAGTCAGGGACTATTGTGATTGTGTCAGTTAGCTTCCTTCTCTGTTTTCTTAACCTAATGACTTTTAAGAGGAATGTTTTTCTAGTCAGGTCTGACTAGAACCATGGCTGTTTGACGTTGGTAAGTTTAACTTCTGATTTGACTGGATCTACTGCTAGGTGATGCAGAGAAGATTAACATCCTTTAGGCACTTCCAGAAATGTGAAAACATCAGGGATTGGGTTTCATATGGCCTTGAATGAACAGTTGTGTAGGACACCTGAAACATTTGCTAGTCTTTACAAAGATATGAACAATATGTAATGTCTAGAATAGAAACAGATGCAGAATTTATTATGATTACATCAAGGAATAGAAGATTTAAGTTTTACCAAATGATTAGAACACTTGAGATTAGCCTGAGAGAACTCATGACAAAGCAGGAGCAAAGATACTTCTTTTTTCTGGAACCACAAATTTAGTGATTGACATATGCTTTTTTTCCCACTCCTTCAAAAGAAATTAGGCTTCCTAAACACTGGGGCTACAAATCCCTTTTACAGATTAGCTCAGTGCAATAAGTATAGAGACGATAATCAACTGGGGTGGTGGTGGCATTTTTCTGGACAGTGGGGTAGGGAATAAAAAAAACAAGGTCACAGTGTCCATTGGTGATATTAACCTTGTGTACATAAATACAACACACGGATTATAGGGTGGTGAAGGCCTGGGGTGGGGCAGGGGTGGACTATAAGAGGTCAGTAGGGAAAAAGGAGGACATATGCAATACTTAAAACAATAAAGATTAAAAAAACAGATTAGTAGAATTTCTAGCTTTGTATTTCAGATTACATGTCATACCAGATTTCAGAGAAGGGGCAGGGGTTGGCTTGAGGCTTGAAGAGCTACAAAGCTACCCTAGAAGGAGGGTACAGAGCACAAGACAATGATGCACTGGCTCCATAAATTAAGGACAAGACCCAGGTAAAAGTGAAATCACATGGCAGGGCAGCAATATGAGAGTTGTCATAGTGCTCTATGCCAGGACAAAAAAATTTGAACTTGGGTCTTTATAGCCTGTGAAAGGGAAGTGTCTATGAAACTGCCATATTTAGAGAGATTCATTGGGTAGGGGTGTACAGATGGATGACAGGGATACCAATTAGGGTCCTTTTGCAGCATTATGGGTGGGAAGTGATGAAAGGTAAACAAAGGTAGTGACAGGACAACAAAGAACATTTCATAAGAAAAATTGTCAGGGTTTGGAAGAAGGGGATAAGAATGACTAGATTAGAGAAGGGAAGCTGACTGGGGAAAGTGAGAGGCAACTTTTCTCTTTTTCTCTGTGGGACTGCTAATGTCATTACTACATTTGCTTGCCTCTGAATCACATATTTTGGGGGATATACATGAACTTTACATATTTGAAATGTCTGTTTTGTTGTCTTAGTAGTAATACTCATGTTTTCACATTATGTAACTTAATTTATTTTCTGGACTAACCTTTTAACATTTCGTTTCAGTTGTTTGAGCTTCTCAATTTCTTGGCAGAGAATTTCATCTTCTCCTACATGGGACTGACACTGTTCACCTTCCAGAATCATGTCTTTAACCCAACATTTGTAGTAGGAGCATTTGTATCCTTTATAATTTGTTCTATTTTTAAACTTTTTTAAAAAATTGAAATTCGCATGTGTTTCCTAGAGGGATAGTTGACAAGAATACATTTAAATATATAAAGTGTTCCTCTCAGTACAAGAAGTAAGGAGTTTAATTCTTTTATCTGCTCTGTTTATTCTATTCTATCTTCATCTGTTAATTGCACAAATAATGCTGATACATTGAAATGACAGAAAAAAAGTTTCCTACCATTCTGCCAATCCCCAAAGAGAAAACTATAACATGTTTGTCCTCTATTGCTAAAGCGAAGACAGAGAGAGTAGAGACTGGAGAGCAGTTCAGTCTATGCCACAGGTTCATTGAAAGCTGGTGAAAGGCAGGAGGCTGCCTGCCCTCTGCCTCATTCTTTCTTACTTGTTGAGTCTTTAAAATCCAGTTGAAAGAGAGAAGCTGAGTACATGAAAAGGAGCAATCAGTATTTCCAGCCTCATGAGAAGGCAGGAAGAGATGAAATCCAGAGCGTGTAGGGAAGTAATGGCCTTCACTGGGAGGAGGAATAACTCCACCATGGCTCCAGGAGAGGGTAGGTTATAAAGAGATGAAGGCACATTTGCAAGATGGTGTTCCTGACTGCTGACCTCTATTTTAATCTATTAAATATGAGGTGAGATTATCTGCTGGAGGTGAGATTATCTGCTGAAAGTGAGATAGGAGCAGGTAGCCTATCAGTTATCTATTATATAACAAATTACCCTAAAATTTAGCAACTTACAATAACAATCATGTATTATATTACAGTTTCTGAGAGTTAGGATACTAGAAGTCGCTTAGCTGGGCTCTTCAGGCTCAAGCAGCCCTCGTGAGGTTACTGGGCTGGGACTGTACTCTGTAGAGTTGATGGGCTGGAGAATCTACCCCAAGTTTACTCACATGGCTGTTAGCTAGAGGCTTCAGTTCTGTTCTACAATACATAGATCTCTCCATGGGGCAGCTCATAACATTGCTTCCCCCAGAGGGAGTAAGCTGAAAGAGCCCCAGGATGGAATCCAGAGTGCCTTTTATAACCTAACCTTTGGAGTGATATACCATCATCCCTTCTGCCACATTCTGTTGGTCGCACAGGTGGATCCTGGTGCAGTGTGAGCAGGGACTTCACAAGGCTGTGAATACTTGCAGGGAGGGATTTTTGGGGACTATCTTAGAGGCTGGTTTCCACGGGTGACAGGAGTTTTGTGGAGACGATTTAGAAATAGATTTTTAGAGAATGGGACAGTGAGTTGAACAAATAAATGATGTAGGATTGCTGAGCAGTAATAGGGACCCACTTGAGTCTGAGAAATAGATATTAGCAATAGAATCAGTCTGCCCTATTGTATGACTTCGACCTGGAGTACTTAGCTGTGAGCTTGGGAGGAAAGAGATAGTTGATTCCATCTATTTTGGGGTTTTGTCAAGTGGATGCACAGAAAAGTGGGCTCTTTAGGATCAAGGCAAAGAAAGCACAGAAAGAGACAAATGAATGTCAGGTGTTTCAGAATATTATTAAGATGTGGTGAAGCCCGGCCACTGTGGCTTGGTTGAGCATTGACCCATGAACCAGGAAGTCATGGTTCAATTCTTGGTCAAGCACATACCTGTGTTGTGGGCTTGATTTCCAGTGGGTTTCATGCAGGAGGCAGCTGATCAGTGATTCTCTCTCATCACTGATGTTGCTATCTCTCACTCTCTGAAATCAATAAAAATATTTTAAAATATATTTTATTGATTTTTTACAGAGAGGAAGAGAAAGGGATAGAGAGTTAGAAACATCGTTGAGAGAGAATCATTGGCCAACTGCCTCTTGCACACCTCCTACTGGGGATGTGCCCGCAACCAAGGTACATGCCCTTGACCAGAATTGAACCTGGGACCCTTCAGTCCACAGGCCGACGCTCTATCCACTGAGCCAAACCGGTTTCGGCAATAAAAATCTTTTGAAAAAGATGTGGTTAAGAAGGGAAGTGAAGCAGGGAAAGGACTGACTGTTAGGGGAAAGTAGCAGAATCTTTGGACTGGAGGTCCTAGTCAGGGGGAAGAACTATCCAAGTGAGATAGATAAACATGAAACATGAAAAGAAATTGTGGTCAGAGAGGATGTTTGAATTAGTGATTTTAAAAAGTAATATTTTTAAAACCACCTCAGAATACAGATTCTGCCAAAGAGATTAGCAGAAATATTTTTTAATTTAAAGCTCTAAGTAGAATCTCTGTTAGAAAGTGAGGTATTAGTGAATGCCATTCTACAGCGTCTTAGTCTTCTAGTAATGAACTTCAGGCAAAAAAGATAAAGCCCTATTAATAAGAGAAGAACCTGCCGAAACCGGTTTGGCTCAGTGGATAGAGCGTGGCCTGCGGACTGAAAGGTCCCAGGTTCGATTCCGGTCAAGGGCATGTACCTTAGTTGCGGGCACATCCCCAGAAGGGGGTGTGCAAGAGGCAGCTGATCGATGATTTTCTGTCATCGATGTTTCTAACTCTCTATCTCTCTCTCTTCCTCTCTGTAAAAAAATCAATAAAATACATTAAAAAAAAAAAAAAAAAAAAAAAAAGAACCTTAGCGGGAAGACTCCCATGAGATCGGTAACTCCATATTCTGCTAGTGTTTGAGAAATTGTTCAGCAGTCACGTTCCTTGATCCATTGTACTTAACCAGAAATAAGACCATTAATTATTTTCCCTAGGTTTCTGAGTCTGTTAGGAATTGAAGTTTCTGGATACAAAATCCTACTGTGAAAATTGACCCCTTCAAGGGAGAGCTGTTCTCTTGCTGGCTATGTTAAGATCTAGATTTGGTTTCATGTGACAAAGACCCAAATTAACTGGGGTTTAAATAAGATAGAAGTTTACCAATGAGCATATAATGCTTATGTACAGTTCCATTTTGCCTTTAGTCTTACAGATGCTAATGATTTCCAGTGGTACTTAGGTCAGCACTTGTATCCCCATCCTTGTTTTATTTTTAATCTTAGATTTTCCTTTATATAATATATCTTTTGGAAAATGGGGTGGAGATTATATTGTAACCTCTGAGATAAAAACTATAATTGTAAAGCAGAGCCTTTATAGACAGCAAACTGGAAGAAAAGACACTAAAATTGTGTGGGGGTTTTTGTTGTTAAAACCATTCTGAGTTACCATTAAGCCTTCCCTTTGAAGCAGGGTGGAAGTTATATACTTAGAGGACTGCATCAGAGCTAGCAGAAATTTCAGTGGTATGAGTTGTTTGAGCTTCCCTTTTCTTTGTCCCGAGGAATCAAGGGCAAGTTTAGCCAGTATTACTCTTCCTCCAACTAACACTGACAATTAAAGTGAATTAACCTATTGTAGTAATAATCTTAAGATTATACCCAAGAATCTCTGCTTTTAAACATGTTTCTGTTCATCTCATGAATTTCCTATATGTTAGATCTGCACTGTCCAATTTGGTAGCAACTAACCACTTGTGGTTATTTAAATTTAAATTAATTTAAATGAAATAAAATTTTAGTTCCTAGGTCACACTAGCCACATTTCAAGCACTCAGTATATTGGACAATGCAGATATAGAACATATGATCATTGTACAAAGTTCCATTGGACTGCTCTGTGTTAGAGAAATAGAAAGATTGTTAGAAACTCTTGAATGTAGAGTCTAAGTAATATTAATATAGTAAAAAGAAATTACCCTTAACCTATTAATAATTTTAGGTTGCTATTTTCTTGGGGAGAGCTGCTAATATTTACCCCTTGTCCCTCTTACTTAATTTGGGTAGAAGAAGTAAGATTGGATCAAATTTTCAACACATGATGATGTTTGCTGGTAAGTTATAACTCCCTCTCTTTTCCCACTCCAAGAAACCACTTAAAGTGTATATGCTAGCTTGATTTTAAATAGAAATGATATGCTGGTAAGATATTACTCCCTTAATTATTGAAGGTGCAACCTCCAAAAAATTTTTTAGTATCTGTATTCCCTTCTATGGGAAAATTTTCATGTTCTGGTTCCAAATTCCCACATGTCACACATAGTAGAGAAGATAAAGATAATTTTATGCTGTGACTTTATGCAAAATCACAGAATTTTGTGAATGTTTATAGCAATTCTATTAATAATTGCCCAAACCGAAGAACAGCCCATTTCTGTTCCAATGGGTGAATAAATAAGCAAACTTGTACATCCAGGCCATGGAATACTACTTAGCACTAAAAAGAACAAACTGTTGATACACACAACAACATGGATGAACCTCAGAGACATTATACCAAGTGAAAGAAGCTAGTCTCAAAAAGTCACATACTCTATGATTTCATTTATATGACATTCTGAAAAAAGACAAAAGCATAGCAACGGAGAACAGATGAGTGGTTGGCAGGGTATTGACACAGTGACAGAGGGGTTCGATTAAAAAGAAGTTGAACAAAAGAATTTGGAGGTGGGTGGGTAGTGAAACTGTTCTGTGTCTTGGTTCTGTTAGTGGTCACACACCTCTATGCATTTGTCAAAACTTAGGGAACTATACACCCAAAAGAGTAAATTTTACTGTATGTAAATTTAAAAATAAATTTCAAAAAATTGTACAAAGATCAATGTATGTCAGTATCATCTACTAATTCTTTTTTCCATTTATTTATACTTATGTACGTTGATATGTACTTGTTCACACCCCTCTTAAGTTCTCAGAGTACCTTATTTCTCTGAATTTATGAGGCTCACATTGGTAATAAGCTATTGAAGAAATACCTGTTCCATTTCTTTTTAGGCCTTCGTGGTGCAATGGCATTTGCCTTGGCCATTCGAGATACTGCCACTTATGCACGACAAATGATGTTCAGCACCACACTTCTGATTGTGTTTTTTACCGTATGGGTATTTGGTGGTGGCACCACTGCCATGCTGTCATGCTTGCATATAAGGTAAGTAGTGACTGGGGACCTCATTTCCATATTAAATTATAATTCAGGTTATTTTCTTTTAATCATGATAAAAATTTAAGCTTTGATAAGTCTATAATATTTAATGTTTTTCTTTTAAAAACTAAACAACATGTAGTACAGAAAAATGAAAGATATGCAAAAGAAAAATAACCATTGTTAACACTTTAAAGTAGGGGTGTCGAACTCAATCAGAGAAGGGGCCAAAATCTAAAATCCAGCCTAAATCGCGGGCCGAATGGTTTACTGAACAGTCATAAACTGTCATTGTGATGGAAACGCAGCGGAGTGCAGTGATGACAGCGCGGTGCGGGCCACATTGCAAGGCCTGGCGGGACGGATTTGGCCCGCGGGCCTTGTGTTTGACACATGTGCTTTAAAGGATGTCTTTCCAGACCTCTTGCTATGCATTCTATATATTTTTAACAAAAGGGGCCAATACTACAGGTACTCCTGTAAACTTATTTTTAAATGTAATATAGCATGGGCATTTATGTTATTAGTAAATAACATTATTTTAATGGCTGTATATATTTTTGTTTATTTATTTATTGTATTATAATTTATTTAACCAAATCTCTACCTTGTATTGTTTCTAGGATTTTGCTATTACCATTAACATTTGAGGCTTTTGCTATTACTATTACCAATAACAATGTAGACATTTGTTAATGTATACACCATTGTGTATTTGTTTGATTATTTCCTTATATGCATTCCTAGATGTAAAATATTCATATATTTAAGGCTTTTGATCCACATTACCAGATTGGATCAAAATTTTTCTCCTGCACCCTGTGATACAATCCTGTTTATCTCAACCCTAATTAATATGAGATATTATCATTATTTCTCATCTTTATGATCAGCATAGTTTCTGACCTGACAATCCAAGGTTGAGATTGTGAGGTCTCGGTGTTAGATGCACACTCATTAATGTATTCAATTGGAAAGCTCCCTTGTATCTCAAGAGTTCTGCATTGTTTCCATGGATACAGCAGCCTATGTTGCTAAAGCCTTTGTAGATTTTAGTCCTGTGTTTGGCTGAAACTTCATAGGCCTTGAGAGCTATTGAGCCTGGCCAGCATAGCTCAGTGGTTGAGTGTTGACCTATGAACCAAAAGGTCATGTTTCTATTCCTGGTCAGGGCACATGTCCAGGTTGCAGGCTTGATCCCCGGTGTGGGGTGTGTAGGAGGCAAGTGATCAATGATTCTCATCTTTAATGTTTCTATCTCTCTCTCATTCTCCCTTCCTCTCTCTAAAATCAATAAAATATTTTTTATAAAGAGCTACTGAGCTTCCAGAATACTTAGGGTTCATTAGAGAAAACTGTATTTCACATTTTATAGAATCTGTTTTCCATTTTTTTATTCTAAAGACCAGCCAGGCTTAAATCACACTTTTAATGTGATTATTATCTTTATCTTGCTTTACTATTCAAATACATTTCTTGCAGTTTCTGTGCTGCTGTATATAATAAAGAATACACAAAAATAATGTTTGTATAACCCTGATTATTACCTCAGGGAGTACTGGACAATTTTTGAGCACCTACTATGTTCTGGGTATTTACAAAGTGCATTTTACAAATTTATCTAATCAAATTTACAAATTTATCTAATCACAGAGCTCCATTTTACAAATAAGGAAATAGAGGCTTAAAAATTTCCAAGTTGTTCAGTGTCATATAGACAATTAAAGGTGGGTAAAGGAACCTCATCAAGAAATTAGAGTGGTCAATTTTGAAAGGTTTAAATATCTTCCTTTTCTCAAGAGCTTGTAAATGAAGACTCCTTATTCTAAAAAAAAAATTAAATGTAAGAATTTTGGAAAAATAATACTCTTAAATGGATTCTTAATGTTTAAGTGAAATCAGTTCTCTTCCCTAACTTCCCTTCATATAAACCAAACAAAATATCCATGTTTTACCCACACACACACACAAAAAAAAACACCCTACAAACCCCCCATACTCACATAAAGTTGAATATCCCTCACCAGCTTTGCAAACTCTTTGGCTCTATCTTGCTTGTCCTATAGCATAGTTTGTTTTTTTAATTCTATGTACTAGAGGCCTGATGCACAAAATTTGTGCAAGAGGCTTGGTCCCTGCTGCTGCGGTGGCTGCCTCAGCCCCTGCCACCATGGCTTCATCCAGAAGGTGGTCCGAAAGGACATCCAGTCTAATTAGCAAATTGCACTTTTATTATTATAGGTTATACATATATAAATCTATCCCCGGAATTCTTCCATTCTAGATTATATATAAAATCTAACCCCACACCGGGGATAGATTACCTTATAGTTTTAGGTGAACTCTTGTTATTCTTTTTTGGGGATTTTTTGGCCTCTGCAAAGAGAGACTGGAATTTAAGTTTCACTTCCCAATTCTGAAATTTGGCTAGTATAATCTTGAGGAGGCTGATAATAAGTCCTTAAAGTTTAAGATTAATGCAGACTTAGACTTGACTATGAGTTCTTGCTCGTTAATTTTGAGTTCTTATTCCTTCCTTTACCAATTCTATGATCTTGAGCCTCAATTTACCCTTTTAAGCCTCAATTACCACATTTGTAATGTGTGTGCTAGTACCTGTCTCCTAGGGTTGTTGTAAGTAGTCAGTGAGCTAATGTCTGTAAAACTCTCAGCACAGCACTGCAAATGTGCTTTTTAGCCATTCATTCAGTAAATTGAGCACTCCATGTGCCAGGCACTGTTTTAAGTTCTAACTTAATGGTTCTCATTTGAGGGTGATTTTGCCCCCACTGCAAGGGACATTTGGCAATGCCTGGAGACATTTTATTAACACAATCTAAGACAGGAGGCTGCTGTTGGCATCTGATTAGTAAAGGCCCAGGGTCCTGCTAAACACCATACAGTGCACAGATCTGTGCCAAAATGTCAGTAATGTGAAGATTGAGACCCTAGAGAGGTACAGCAGTAGTATAATAATAAGATAGAAAAAGTCCCTGGTCTCATAAAGTCTGTATTTTAGTGGGAGAACACAGACAGTACACTAGCGTTCAAAAGAAAATGGCAATTTTAGGTGATATTAAATGTTATGATGACAAACAAGGTACTGTGATGGTGACTAGGGATCAAACGTATTTTATAGGTGGAGGTCAGGAAAAGTCAGAGTCAGTCTCTCTCTTTCTTTCTTTCTTTTTCTCTCTCTCTCTCTCTCCCCCCTACATTTAACATCAGTCTGGACAAGGTATTGCCAGTTAAACAGTGAGCACGAAGAAGAGCAGCCCAGGCAGAGAGAAAAGCATATGCAAAGGCCCTGAGGCAGGAAAAAAACGACTTCTTTAATGAACAGAAAAAAAAAGCCCACATAGTTGGAATATAGTGATTAAAGTGTAGATAGGAAATAAGGTGGGCAAAATCCTATAGGGGCAGTAGTTGGCAAACACATCCTGTAAAGGGGTGGATAGTAAAATTTTAGGCTTTGCAGACCATATGGTCTCTGTCTCAATTACTCAACTCTAGCGTAAAAGCCCCACAGATGTGCCCTTAGCTGGTTTGTCTCAGTGGATAGAGTGTCGGCCTGCAGACTGAAGGGTCCCAGGTTCGATTCTGGTCAAGGGCACATGCCTGGGTTGCAGCTTGATCTCCAGTGGGGAGCCTGCAGGAGGCAGCCAATCAATGATTCTCTCTCCCTTCCTCTCTGAAATCAATATATATATTGAGATATATATATATATTTTTTTGACATATAACATATATATATATATATATATATATGTTATAATAAAATAAAATAAAAAAAGCCCCACAGGCCCTAACTGGTTTGGCTCAGTGGATAGAGCGCTGGCCTGCGGACCCAAGGGTCCCAGGTTCAATTCCGGTCAAGGGCATGTACCTTGGTTGCAGGCACATCCCCAGTAGGGGGTGTGCAGGAGGCAGCTGATTGATGTCACTCTGTCATCAATGTTTCTAACTCTCTCTCTCTTCCTTCCTCTCTGTAAAAAAATCAATAATATATATATATATTTTAAAAAGCCCCACAGATGATACACAAGTCAATTGGTGTGGTTGTGTTCCAACAAGACTTTATTCACAAAAATGTGGCCTGTGGGCCTTAGTTTGTGGATCCCTGCTTTCGGGACTCATAAGATATGGTAATGAATTTGGATTTTAAAGTCCAATTGGAAATCTTGTAAGATTTTAAAGTAAAGGAGTGACATGATTATTTTTGTAGGGTAAAAGCATCACTCTAGCCGTTTTATAGACAACAGATCCTCAGTGAGTTAGAGCTAACAAGCTAGCTATTCCTACATATTTTTATAGTTTGTGATGGTTACATTTGGCTCCTTGTCATTTACCACACATATTTTACAATTCTCTGTCTCTGAGCATTTGCTGCTATTGTTTCTTAGCCTTGAATTCTCTTTCACTCCCAAGAAATGACATAGCTCAAGTGCCTTCTCCTTTCTGCTGTCTTCTTTTATATTGGAACCATTCTTCCATTTGCTTAACGTATTTGGGTATCGTTATGACAGCACTTATTTTGATCAGCCTTGTAATAACAATCCTATATAATAAAGCCCTAATATACAAATTGACCATACAGCGGAACTACTGGTTGCTATGATGTGTACTGACCACCAGGGGGCAGACACTCAACACAGGAGCTGCCCCCTGGTGGTCAGTGTGCTCCCACAGGGGGAGCGCTGCTTAGTCAGAAGCCATGCTCATGGCTGGCAAACACAGTGGTGGTGGTGGGTGCCTCTTCCCTCTCTGCAGCAGTGCTAAGGAACAGTGAGCTGAGCCATCAGGAGCAGCGAGCAGGAGGGCCATAAGGAGCGAGGGCTCCTGGACTGTGAGAGAGATGTCTGATTACAGTGGGAATCAGGCCTAAGCTGACAGGTGGACATCCGTCGAGGGGTCCCAGACTGAGAGAGGGTGTAGGCCGGGCTAAGGGACACCCCCCCCCCCAAGGGACACACACACACACACACACACACACACACACACCCACCGCCAGTGCACAAATTTCATGCACCGGGCCTCTAGTATTGTTATAAGAGCTACCACTTCATGTTAATGATGTACCAGACACTCTTTTAACATCTCAAGTTGCATTTTTCTCATTTAATTCTTGCAGCAACTCTGTGTGGTGAATATTATCCCTATTTTTCAAGTGATAAAATCATGGTTCATTGGGCTACGTAATTTGACTAAGTTCATTCACACAGCTGGAAAGGAGCTGAGATCAGCTTAGAACCCAGCTCTCCCTGATTGCAGAGTCTTTGGGGATTATGCTCCAGTTGTGTCTGTTTTCCCCACTCTTCCCTGAGCTCCATGACAGCAGGGCCAAGTCTAATTCGCATCTATGTTCTGTGCCTAGCACAATGTTGTTTATTACATTGAATTGGTGCTTGCTCGCTCTCAGACCACTAGGTGTCACTTTAGATGCACAAATGTGGTTGGAGATTAATGTGCTAAGAAGCTATTGAGCAGCTTCTGGCCATTTTAACAAAGAAATGAGCCTTTCTTGGAATTATGAATCCGGTCATATCCGGATTCATAATTTATAACTGTTTTCAAGTACTTAACCATGATTCACTTGCCTTTCAGATGAGGTCTTGCATCATTTCCCTCCCTTCGGTATTATTTGTATTCTGAGTTGCTACTGCTACAGATTCTCACACTGCTGTTTTTTCTGTGTTGTCTGAAGTAGTGACCTTAATTGCTAAACATTTGAGCACCTATTGTATGTCAGGTACTGTGTTAGACTGGGGGGCTATAGAGATGAATTGAGACATGACCTTTACCTCAAGGAGCTCAGTCTGTTTGGGGAGACTGATAGGTAAATAACTATACTGTGTTAAGTGTTATAGATGATTCAAGAAAGTGTTGTTAAAGCATAAATGAAAACAGATTCTTCTTGGAGGGGGTCAGAGAATGGTTCATGTGGAACTCGTAAAGGAATAAAAAAAATGCAGGACAGTGCATTTCAGATAGAGGGAACACCATGAGCAGAGGCATGGAGGCTCGGGAGAGGACATGGATTTTGGAGCAGAGTAGTCAGGTGTGGCTAATGGCAGGTTGGAGCAGTGGGGTGCTAATTTGTAGAGAATTTTGAATGTCATACAACAGACTTTAGACTTCACCCTCTGAGTTGTAAGCCGCTCTCAGAGTCTTTTGTCAAGGGACTAACCCACTGAGGTCTATGCCCTAAATAGTAAAATCTAGGGGAGAGCTTGGCAGCTAGAAAACCTTACATCCAGTTGCTACAGATCCCATGAGTCAGAATGAGGCCAGAGCGTGAGAAGTTGAAATGGAAAGGGGAGAAGATGTGAGAGACAGCTTAGAAAGAATGAACAGAGTTGCTGAGTGCTGCTGGTGTCGAGGAGATAGAGAAGAGTCAAAGAGAACTTCTTCATAATGAAGTTGTTCCTTGGGAAAAGAAAAGCAGGAATCTGAGCAGATGAAAAAGAATTATGAAGAACCAAGGCTAATGTGTATCCATTAGCCTATGAAAAAAAACAACTGTAATTGGACCCTCTCTTCGGTCATCACAACAGAATGTTACCATGAGAGCTGAGAGGTCCAAAAACATGAAACTCCCTGCTGGAACTGCATTGTGCCAGCCTTGTATTTGGAACTACCCAGTAAGTAGTTCTTATTCAGTAACTGGGACAATGCTGCTTTCTCTGACTCCGCTTATAATGAACTTGTATTCAGAGAAGCAAATGTTATTTTTCTGAAAATGGTAAGTTGGATTGTAGGAAGAGAATCATTAGTAGACCCTGCTTGTCTGAGGATCTGAGCTGTTGCTAAGCAAAGTGGCAGGAGCCAAAAATTTATATCAACAGCCAGAGAAAGCAAGAAAACATTAACCATTCCATAGCTTCTGCATTGAAATAAAGTAGTTCCCTGACAATATACATATGTGAATAGACTTTTTTTTTTTTTTTTTTTTTTTTTGGCTTCAAGATCTCATTTGCCTTTTGTTTTTCTCCTTTAGGGTTGGTGTTGATTCAGACCAAGAACATTTGGTAAATATGCATTTGTGTTGTCCCTGGCATTTCTGTCAAATGTACAGTTGTTTGGAAAGAAAATAATCTGCTGTAGACTTCGTGCCACATTTAGATCCTGTCCCATTTGCATCAGCTTTTAACTGGCATCTTTCCTGACTCTGTGATAGAAACAAAACTGAATTTTAGTCAGTGTATGGTTATCAGGGGTGACAGCTTTTATATGTGTGGGCCAACCTGGGCTTTGGCTGCAGAGAAGAGACGTCCCATAAGTACTCCTGAGTTTTCAAGTGACTGCTCTGGCACAGAGAGCCTTTTTCCACTTGGGTTTGCGCATGATGGCTTTTCTCTGATGTAAGCCCCACTCCAGCTGCTCTTCCTGTGTAACTTTCAAATTGGATGACCAGCAGCTGCCCTTGAGAACTACAGAGAAGCTTTGGAGTCTTCCTTGCCTGATCAGGAGAATGCAATTTCTTACTCTGTGCCATAGCCTTGCCCACATTTTCTTGCCCGCTTCCCTGTGTTACTTTCTCAGTTGTTCCCCTGTACCTGAACCCGATACACTGAGTACAGTGTAATTTTGTGCCTTCTGTAGACTGACCACTCTTTCTTGGTATTTTCCATCAACCTTTTAATGGATTCTGAGCACCACTCAATATGTGACTCTACCCTAGACTTTAGATTAGATGGGAAATCGCAGAAATATTTTTAAAGCTGGAAATCATCTCTTTCAAAACACAGTTCTTTTTCTTGTCTGAAACAAGCCCTGGGCTATTTGTCTTCAGGGAGTGGTTCAAAAAATCATTAGATTCATTTCCTAAATGCTAATTTTGTTAGCTGTTGAGTGATGAGTGTGTATGTGATATAGTAAGTACTTGCTTCTTTTTTGGTAAGAACCTTGAAGTATAATTCCATGGGCTTGAAATATCTGAGCAAACTAGGCTGGATAAATTCCCATGATGCTCAGCTGCTGGGGTAGTTACCAAGGGGATAATAGTTCCTTAATCTTATGTCTAAAAACAAGTAAATTCATCATACAGATTACCAGACAAATGCTTGATCATTACCTCTTAGTCTCCACCTGCTTTGTCACCTCTGTCATCACAGAGGAGAAATGGAAATGGAATTACAGGGAGAGAACCAGGTTGGTGAATACCACCTGTGACATACAGAAAAAAAATACATTTTTTCCCCTTGCCTTCAAAACCCTGTGGATGTCTTGGGTCATTATATTATTCACTCAATATTGTGAGTGTCCACTGGGAAGCACAGAGGAACAGAAGCACACAGGAATGTGTGAGTGTACAGGTGTTTATGTGGTGAGATTTATAGCTTAATTGCTCTTCAAAAAGCAAGACACAGAACAAACCTATGCCTACTGATATAAAAGGAAATACAGTTGTATTTTGGCTCTTATAAGTCCATGCAATATTCTTGAACATTTTTCTATTGTGTATGTGTAAAGGAAGATTCATTTATACCCAATAAGGAACCAAAATCATGGAACTATAGAATACTCATCCTAGAAAGGGCCTTAAATATTTTCTAACCTTCACATTGCATGCATGAAGAAATTCAGATAGGCTCACAGAGTGGAAGGAACTTGCCCAACTAGTTCATGTCAGAGCCGACATGAGCCCATTGACCTAACTCCCCACTACTGGCCCCACCACATCACAAATAAGGACCCAGTTTATGTTTTTGGAAGCTATTTAGAAGATGCCAGCTTGCTATGTTAGGCTTCCCTCCTAGATGGTCAGGCTTAATATGGAATTTCCCTACTTGATTTCATTTTGCTAATGTTCCAAGAACATAGTAGAAACTTTAAAAATTTCTAATGTCCCCCAGGTTGGAGAGTACCTCATACATATTTCTGATTGTATAAAGAAGTGACTCTTAAATAAATGTGTTTTTATCTTTATGCATATATTGATTTCTTTATTATTTGTTTGCAGGGTATTCCTGAAAATGAAAGAAGAACTACCAAAGCCGAGAGTGCCTGGCTTTTCCGGATATGGTACAACTTTGATCATAAGTATCCTTAATTGAGAAAAACAAATGGTATTATGGACATGGACAATTGCAATTTAATGGAACAACTGTTTTGACCATTCCAATCCTGAAGCAGAACATAAAATCTTTGGTCTTCCCTTTCTCTTCAGAGTAGTGAGGAGGTTTTTTGTTTTTGTTTTTTAAATATATTTTATTGATTTTTCACAGAGAGGGATAGAGAGTTAGAAACAACGATGAGAGAGAAGTGAGAAGGTTTTTAAAGGAAACCAACCCAAATGGATTCCTCTGAAAACCCATGAAACTAGTAGTTACTGTTAATTGCAGAAGCTGGTTGTGTGAAGGAACGAAGGAGCCCTTATGTTAGATTTTCTTTGATATATAGGTTTATTTATTGAGCAAACTTTAAATTTTATTGTCCTTTAGGTAATTTTAGTGAACCCTGAAAAAGGTATTTTTGGTTCTTGTCAGTGTACTTACTAGAATAAAAAAGGAAAGGCTTCCTTAGGAAAAAGCACGATATTAAGATTAAGAACACAGATTTTAATGTTAGATACCCTAATAATGAGTGATATACCTTTTTTCTCTGACCTTTCCGAATACTGGCAGATTATCTTTTCTATTCAAAATGCCAATGTTTCATTGTTTATCAAGTTTTTTTCTTGTCCTATTGTAATAGTGTTCTTCATAGCTATACTTTGAATCAGGTTATAGTCTATAGTAGGGGTGTCGAACTCAATCAGAGAAGGGGCCAAAATCTAAAATCCAGCCTAAATCGCGGGCCGAATGGTTTACTGAACAGTCATAAACTGTCATTGTGATGGAAACGCAGCGGAGTGCAGTGATGACAGCGCGGTGCGGGCCACATTGCAAGGCCTGGCGGGACGGATTTGGCCCGCGGGCCTTGTGTTTGACACATAGGACTCTATAGCCTGTCTATATAATGTCTTTAAAATATTTTATCACTCACCATTTATTACAATTAATTTCTTATTTGAAAATTGAACTATAAAAAGGGACCATGGAGTTATTTACTTACCAGTAAATAAATCAAAACCTGGTTTATGTTCCATTGAAGCAAATTTGGGACAACTATATAAAAAGATTTTCCTTGCTTTTGACTTTCTGAGCAAAATCATTTATATTTAAGAAAATTGCATTGGATACTTATCATTATAATTTGCTACTTACTATATTCTGTCGGCTAGATTTTTATGTGCACTTTTCACAGGGTATTTCTGAAATACATTACTGTAAGGAAACAAGAATGCATGCATATCTATGGTATTAAGACTCTCATTAAGGAGAAAGATCATGGTTCTTTAAAATTGTTTAATGATTATGTCATTACTTTTGGCTCCATTATAAGCATTTTGGATATAAGCCACTTCTACATCTCTTTAGGCCTTTTCACCCCTCTCATTCAACAAAAATTGTTTAGTCTTTCCTACATAAATTGTTCTGTACATTTTCTGCATAATATACAAATCAATTAAATGATCCTAATATAGAGAAAGAATAGAATAATAGCTTTTTTTTCTGTATAGTTTTATAAAGCTAAACACCAAGACTTGTTTGACTCAATATTACCCTATTAAGTATTACTAGACTAAGACCTGGTAATTTTAAAATCCAGTGCCTTGGTGGAATTAATGATTCATCACTCTAGATTTAAGTTCCTTTGTATAGCCAGATTATTTGTTATAATTGAGATACAACTTAAATACAGCAATATACATAAATCTTAAATGTACAGCTTAATGAATTTTGACTTGTGTATATACTTGTGTGCTTGTCACTCATAGAAAGTGTGTAGAACATTTTCAGTACCCCAGAAGGTACCCTGTGTTCTCTTGTAGTCAATAATGACTTCCCTGTCCACCCCCAAAAGGGCAATCACAATTCTGATTTCTAGCAACATGGATTAGTTTTAGCTGCTTTTGTTTATCATATAGATGGAATCATGTGTTATTTCATGTCTTGCTTCTTTCACTCAACATTGTATAGTTTATCCATATTGTTGTCTGTACTAGTGACACTTTTTTTCATTGCTGTGTAGTGTTCCATAGTATGAATATACTACGGATTGTTGTTGTTTATTTTTTGTTTGTTTTGTTTTTTATATTGTTTTTTTAACCATCTATTATGGATAAACATTTGGTTTGTTTCCAACTTTGGGCTATTACAAATGAGGCTAAACATTCGTGTATATATATTTTTGTAAACATAGGCACTCATTTCTCTTGAGTTAGATACCTAAGAGTAGAATTTAGCGCAAGTGTAAATTTAGCTTTAATAGCTAGTGCCAACCAGTTTTCCAGAGTGCTTGTAGCAGATTTGTATTCACACCGGCAAGTTAAGGGGTTCCAGTTGTCTCACATCTCCATCAAAACATGATATTGGTTAGCCTTTTCATTTTTAGCCATATCGATGGGTTTGTAGTGCTGTCGATTGTGGGTTAGCTTACATTTCTCCGTTAACCACTGAGGTCAAGCATCCTTTCATATTGGCCATTTTGATATCCTCTTTGTTGAAGGATGTTTGTTCAGTCCTATTGCCCATTATGTGAATTTTCTTGTTTACCTAATTTGAAGTTCTTTCTATATTCCTGAATTGGGTTCTTTGTTGGTTGCATGTATTGTGACTATCTTCTTCCAATATGTAACTCATCTTTTCATGTTCTTAATCCTGTCTTTTGAGGAACATAAGTTCTTCATTTTAATGAGGTTTATTTTTATCAATATTTTATGATTAGTGATTTTTATATCTTAAGAAATCTTTCATATCCCAAGGTCATGAAGATATTTTCTTTTAAAAATATGATTGTCTTAGCTATTGAGTTTGTGTCCAATGTGAGGTATGGGTTAAGAGCTACTGTTTTCTATATGGGTATTCAATTGACCCAGCACCATTTATTGAAAATACCATCCTTAACCCACTGAATTACAGTGGAAACTTTTGTAAATCACTGGGCCATATATGTGGGGGTCTGTTTCTGGACTCTCTTTTCTATTTGTCTATTTTTACATTAATACCAAACTCTCTTAATTATTGGAATCACACAAATCTGGGTTTGAATATTGGTGCTTAATTTACTTAATTGTGTGACTTTAGGCAGATCATGGGCCTCTCTGAGCTTAGTTTTCATATCTGTGATATAGAGATAGTAATAAAAGCTCCCTTTGCTATCTCACTGACATAATGTGGTGATGAAATGAGACAACATGTGAAAGCCCATAGATATCCTCTCAAATACTTGGTATATTGTGATGGTGGCTGTTATCAAATGAGTTGTTCTTTTAAATTTGTGAAGAAATGAACACACCCCTTCCTTAACCAGCACAGCTATCTGAAGCCTCTGCTCACGCATAGTGGGCCTCCTCTCACAACAACACTCCCTGCCTGCTGTGGACCCATTGCCAGATGCCTAACCAGCCCCCAGGCTTATGAAGTAAGTGGGTTTTATCCAAAACCTAAGCTCTTTATTAAGTTAAATTTATCTGCTCTGTGGTTGGGTTACTAGTTTTGTTTTTTGTTTTGTTTTGTTTTGTTTTGTTTTACTTGAAGGTATAAAATCCATGAGAGGGAATATAAGCATATATATTTTGCTCAGCCAGAAAATAAACTGAAATCTATAAATATAATTTATAGCCTTTGAAGCAGCATTTGAAAACAGGTCTAAAATAGTACCTAATTTAACTGTTGGTGATTTTAATAAATCTATTCCATGCTGGTTTTCATTTATTTGCAGTATGAGGCCTAAGCTCAGTACCAAATGTTTGTCTTGATTTATAAATTTGGATTGTCACAGTCATATTGAGAGGATTAATAAAACAACCTTTGATGCCCCTAAAGTGCAACAGATGATCTTTTATTTCACACTTCCCATCTTTTGAATCTTAGGAAAGCTTTTTCTACCTCTGTTCCACATAGTTGGGAGGTGTGAGCATAACTACAATAGATATAATCTAGATACCATATATTTTACTGATTTCAGAGAGAGGAAGAAAGAGGGAGAGAGAGGTAGAAATACCAGTGACGAGAGAGAATCATCAATTGGCTGCCTTTTGCACACACACACCCTCCCCCAATGGGGATCAAGCCACAACCCAGGCATGTGCCCTAATTAGTAATTGAACTGATGAGCTCTTCATGCATGGGTTGATGCTCAACCATGTTAGGCAGATGCCATATTTTTTTCTTAGCTACCAACATATGATTAATGATTTGGCGAGTAGTACAACAAAGAAAGAAAATGACAAATGCTAACCAGTTTTTATTTTAAAGTATGAACATTTTATTTTTCAGTTCATTCCAAAACAAAAATTGCTTCTAACCTAACCATTCAAAATAATCTGTGGCATCAAATAAAGTGTCAATGTTAAGAAAACTCACCAATTTTGACTATTCTGATGCAACATCTTGAGTAGAGAGGGAAGACTGGGAACTGGGGGGAGTGCATGTGGAGCATTGCAGACATTCTATGACATTCCTTATGACATTCTATGTCATGTGTTAGTTCAGACCCCACAGAGAATAGATGGGAAAGATTAGACTCACTCAGTGGGGGTGGCACCTGGATCAGGGTGAGTGCCTTACAGCTTTGTGTTACATTGAGTCATGAGTTACATTTCTGACAGATTGTGCTGGTGGGATGGCAGAACACCCCATGTTGTCTCTTCTCTCCCTCCGACATTGCCCAAAGTCCTCTCTCTCAAACACAACCATTCCCTCTGTGCCTTGTGGTTCTGTGCAAAGGGGTCAAGACAGCTCTGTTGGTGAATCAGTGAGGTGAGGCTCTTGGATTTCAGAGACTCACTCAGCCATCTCCAAAAGCCAAAAGAGTTTCAGAAGGACTGTGTATCCTGTGGAATAAAGCAAAATAGAACATTGTGGTATTAGTTTCCTAGTGCTGCTGTAACAAGTAGTACAACTGAACGGTTTATTGTCTCTCAGTTCAGATAGGCTTGGTTTCTTCTGAGGGCTATGAGGGATAATCTGTTCCATACCTTTCTCCTAGTTTCCTAGCTTGTTGTGGTTTGCTGCCAAGCTTTGGCATTCCTTGGCTTATAGACAGATCATACAGATCTCTGTCTTCATCTTTATGTGGTATTCTGTGTGTGTGTCCAAGTCTCCTCGTTTTATAAGAATATTCAAACAGTATGGAATGTACAAAGTGAGAAATAAAAGTTGCCCTCCTCCCACCTATATCCCTTAGAGCAAGCATGTCAAACTCAAAGGCTAACATGTGCCAAATAAACAAGGTTTAAGTTTATGTGGACCACAAAAAAACAAAAGCTTCAATTTTCTTTCTTTTAAAAAAAAATATATTTTATTAATTTTTTTACAGAGGGGAAGGGAGAGAGATAGCTAGAAATGTCGCTGAGAGAGAATCATTGACCAGCTGTCTCTTGCACACCCGCTACCGGGGATGTGCCCGCAACCAAGGTACATGCCCCTGACCGGAATCGAACCTGGGACCTTTCAGTCTGCAGACCGATGCTCTACCGCTGAGCCAAACCGGTTTCGGCCAAAAGCTTCAATTTTCATAGAAACATAGGTTTATTTTAATAGAGACATGCTGAATACAAAGGACTGAAATAAATGAGTAATCGTTAACCTAAAATAATAGAACATTTTAATAAAAATTAATATTTTTTCTTGAACATTAACTTACTAGACACTGAATAACTGCACAAATTAATAAGTGTAGCCAAAACTGGTTTGGCTCAGTGGATAGAGCTTCGGCCTGCGGACTGAAGGGTCCCGGGTTGGATTCCGGTCAAGGGCATGTACCTTGGTTGTGGGCATATCCCCAGTAGGGGGTGTGCAAGAGGCAGCTGATCGATGACTCTCTCTCATCGATGTTTCTAACTCTCTATCTCTCTCCCTTCCCTTCTGTAAAAAATCAATAAAATATATATTTTCTAAAAAGTGTATTACAAATAAACCTATTTTCTTGTTCTCCAAAAGTGAAATATTTCCTGTTGCTCATACTAAACAAGTCAGTCAAAGACTAATGATGTGGCAATCAGCTGCTAAAATATTCGCTGCTAGTATTAGCAGAAAGGAATGGTGCGCCTGTGCATAAGGCGCATAGGGGAAATGAATGCAACACGGTTTATAGTAATCAGTCATTAGCGAACATTGTAGTTTGTTATTAATAATCCTATCTAATAAAAGGGTAATATGCAAATTGACCATCACTCCAACACACAAGATGGCTGCTCCATGTGGTCAAAGATCCTGCCCCCATGTGGATACAAGATGGCCACCACAAGATGGCCAGCAGGGGAGGGCAGTTGGGAGGGACCAGGCCAGCAAGGGAGGACAGTTGAGGGTGATCAAACCTGCAGGGGTGGGCAGTTAGGGGTGTCCAGGGCTGGAAGAGGAGGGCAGTTGGGGGGACCAGGCTGGCAGGGGAGAGCAGTTAGGGGCAATTGGGCCAGTAGGAGAGCAGTTAGGCATTGATCAGTCTGGCAGGGGAGTGGTTAGGGGGTGATCAGGCTGGCAGGCAGAAGCAGTTAGGGGCAATCAGACAGCAAGCAGGTGAGTGGTAGAGAGCCAGCAGTCCTGGATTGTGAGAGGGATCCCAGATTGGAGAGGGTGCAGGCTGGGTTGAGGGACACCCCGCTGCACGAATTTTGTGCACCGGGCCTCTAGTTATGTAAATATTAAGTTACAAAAATTTTATTTAAATGTTTCTTACCATTATATTGGCTGGGCCACAAAAATATTAATTGTGGGCCACGAGTTTGGTATGTTTGCTTTAGAGGAAGTCTTTACTAAGGTTTTATTGTGGATTCCTCCTGATATATTTTATTTTCACAAACTTATATGTATATGTAGCTGTTTGTTATTGTTTTACACAAATAAGATCATAATCAGTGTATTTCCTGTTACTTGCTTTTTTTTTTCTTTTCTTAATGTTATGTCATGCTACCTTTCTGTGAGTACATGAGATCCTTTAGCTTCTCTTTATCTGTAGCTGCATAGTACTCCATTGTATGGCTATACCAAGATTAATTTAATCAGTCTTCTATGGATAGATCTTTAAGTTACTTACTTTTTTTTTGTTATTACAAGCAATGTTTATGGTAAGTATCCTTGTGAATATAAATTTATCCAAATATATAATAGTATATAGAATAGATTTTAAAGATTAGATTTCTGGGTCCAAAGGCTTATATGCATTTTTAAATTTGATAGATACATCCCCAAACTTCTAACTTAATAAAGACATTAGAATGTGCTAAAGATCTCCTGCTGACATTTGAAGATGTCACAGACCTTTGCTATGAGCATTGCTGAATTGATAGGCACTAGTTAAACTTAGTGTTTTCACTAGTTTAGTCAGAAAGGAATTATAGCTGGTTGGTTGTTATGGGCTTGGTCTTTATCTTCGAGTATTTAGGCAAATTTCTAGCAAAGCAAAGCAAATTTATTTTGTCTAGTAGTCTCTTCAGTCTCTTTGACTATCTTACACAATTTTGTTGTTGTTGTTGTTAATTCTTACCAGAGGATATTTTTCCTTGATTTTTAGAGAGAGTGGAAGGGAGAGGGAGAGAGAAACATCGATGTGAGAGAGACACATCATTGGTTGCCTCCTGCACACTCCCTGACCAGGGCCAGGTAACCTGCACCCGAAGTAGGTGCCCTTGACTAGAATTGAACCCGGGACTCTTCAATCCGCAGGCCAGTGCTCTATCCACTGAGCCAAACCAGATAGGGCCTCTTACACAAATTTAAAATTTTCTAACACACATAGTATTGGAGAGCTGGATGTAAGATGTATCTATCAGTTCTACTTTCCCTATGGAGTATTAGATACATAGGTTGTTGTTGTTTTCTTTAATCACTATGAGTGGTTAGAATGACTCCTACTCTTTACATTAAAAATTACTTATTTTTAAAAGTAATTAATGTGTGTTCATTATAAAAAAATGTGTGATAGTACAGAAACATAAGAAAATAAAAATTACTAGCAACCGTAGCATGCAGAAATAACTGTCATCATTTTTTTGAATACCCTTCTAGACTTTTCTATGCACACATACATTATTATTATTATTATTATTATTATTTTTTACCAAAATGGCACTATATATTCTTGACTTTTTTCCCTTTTGTGGAGCTTTATTTAATTATACTCTTTGGATCACAAAATTTACATTAGAACCAAAGTTTATCAAGCTGGGAGGCAAGTATATGGTGAAAATTCAACATATTGAGGGATATTATATTTCTAGGCATTGTTAATACTTCACTTATATAAGTCCATTCAATAATCAATTGAAATTAGTTTAGTGAATTCTCTCTGTATGCCCCAAACTGTTAGGCTGTTAGACTACAGCATAGAAGGAACTTAGTCTAGTGGGGGGAGAGTGCAGAATAGACCAGTGTCATTGCAGTTACAAGGATAAGTGACACTCTAGGGAGAGGGCTAAGTACAGGATACTAGGGGAGAACATTAGGAGGTCCACCTCAGCAAGCCTTGGAAATTTAAGAATAACTTCGGGGAGAAAGTGACTTAGCTGAGACCTCATTGATAACTAAGCTCTCATCACGTGAAAGAGGGCAGAAGGGACAGGAAGTGAGAAACCTTGAGAGATTTAAGCAGCTGTCAGCAGCTTAGTCTAGCCAGAACACAATGGGGCTATTGAGGTTGGGGAAGTTGACTGTAGTGGGAGATGAAGCTGATGCCCCAAGTCAACAATGTCTTTTAGGACAAGGAAAGGACTTTAGACTTTATCCCAAGAGAAGCTGCTACCCCCGAAGGGTTTAAGTAGGGAGTACTTGAAAATTCTGCTATTGGAAATGTTTCTTGAATTTCATAACAATTCTTAAAACTTATTTTATTTGTTTTTAGAACCAGGAGCAATTGAAAGATGATGATTCTGATCTTATTCTCAATGATGGAGATATTAGTTTGACGTATGGGGATTCTACTGTGAGCACTGAATCAGCAGCATCTAGTGGCCCCAGGAGATTTATGGGCAACAGTTCTGAAGATGCCTTGGATCGCGAGCTTGCATTTGGGGACCATGAACTGGTCATTCGGGGAACACGCCTGGTTCTTCCTATGGATGATTCCGAACCCCCATTAAATTTGTTAGATAATACGAGACACAGTCCAGCCTAAACTTACTAATACTCACTTAGTGATTTGTAAAATTTGCACATGTGATTGTGAAGAGATTTGTACTACCTAAAAAGTCGCAGTGCATGTCTGAATGTTTAAGCTATATAAATGCTATTTATATGGCATCGAAAGAATATAAATATGTCCGAGGCAGATTGTGAACAAACTCTTTTATGTTTATTGGCTGCACTATGTAGACTGGATCTGTTATAGAAAATTTTAAGTGATGTTGTGTGTTCCGTTAACTTTATGTCTCAGTTAAAATATAAAAAGTGACAGAGTTACTCTTTCTTATATTAACCTGACACTTAACAAGAGTTCCATGTTTCTGTGATGTGAATTAATTTGGTTTTGTGGGCGGGGAGGGGAAGAAGAAAGAGGGAATGTTATTTCAGCAGAATCCCAGGGAGGAGAGGTTCCTTTGTTGGGAAACTTGTGTTGATTGCTGCTGCCTTTGTCCTAACCTTTTCTTTCCTTTTTTCTCTGGTAGCCTATTGTGGCACAAGAGGCTGATGGCATTCTAATCTTGCCCCATTCATGTTGGGGAGTGAAGTGTGGGGCCCTTTTCCCCCCTTGCTATGAAAGAACAGATTCCTTGACCACAGTACACTACTGTTGGGAAAAGAAGGCTACACATGACTTCCAAGACTTTGTTTCTTTTCTTTCAGACCAAGATCGTAGAAGACGCATCCAGCCAGCTTAGCCAAAGTACAGGCAAATATAGTTCAGGACACTTGATTTCAATTTGAAGGAGCTGGGCAGGCTACGAGGGGGCAGAGAGCAGGAGAAGAGTAAAGAGAATGGTGGTGTGCAGGTCTCTCTTTCCAAATATGTAAATAGTCTATACCAGATAGGTTTAAGTAAGGAACTCAATTGCTGCTTACTTTCTGATTTCTGTACTTGATCTGTATAACAAGCTTTGTGGTCAGAAGTTTTTATATCTACTTAAATTGCTGCTCTTTAGCAGACAAACAGGAACAAAATGTAAAAATTTTGAACTTAACTATGTCTGTCATTTGTTAGTCTGTAGTTGAAGTTAAAAGTTAATTTATGAATCCAGGATCTTTGCACACTACACCAAAGTCAGTCATAGGAAAAATTCAGTGCTCTGGAGAGCTTATTGTAAGGATGGTGATTCCTCTGTGTGTACTGGTGTAGTTGTCGTTATTTTCATGTTACTATTTAATATGAAATACCTAAGCTGCCATGTGTTTTTGTTTTTTACAATCTTCAAGGAAGAATACATAACAATTTCCCATTTCATATTCAGAGAATGAAAGTGGATGCTATTTTGTGATGCTGAAAATATCTAAAGGTTCATCGAATGTTGAGAAGGGGGATACTTTCTTATGTTGATTCTAACCTGTTAATGTTTCAGAAAGAAAAGAGAAATTTTGTGGGTTTCCCCCCTCAGGTCTGAGTAGCATTGCCTTAAATTTTATCCAGTTCAAAAATTGATTTATTTACTTGATGCTCAAATTTTCCAACAAAAAATATCTCTCCAAAAATATATTCTCCCAAAGGTATCTGTGCTGTTGTAAATACTCCTTGAGATTTTAAAGGAATTCTACTGTTGTACACTTGAGTGGCAGCTCTACTGTTGGCAGAGCCATTTGTTATCTGTGATAGTCACTTTCCTGCTATGCAGGAACCCTGTGAAGTGTGCGTTTTATATGATGTGTGCCTCTTCATGCAATCAATACTTTATTGTTAATGTATGCTTGAGGGGCTTTAAACTTCAGTGTCATTTATCCATGAAGTTATTCACGTTGTAAAAGGATATACAAGAAATTAACAGCTACCTTTTTTATTCTTTCAGGTTACTAAGCTCACTTTATGAAAATGATTAGAAATACTTAGCATGACAAATTTGCTAACTTGTCTGTTTCAGCATGCATAAGACTTTTCCTTAAAGAAACATAATGCTTGAGTCAACTAAATCAGCCTTTGTACATTATCAAAGGGGAACCAAGTCTGCTGTGCTCACATCAGCATCTGGAAGATTCTCCTGTCTTCTAACCTATGTGCACATTTCCAAGCAAAGAAGGAAAAAAAAAAAAACTCTGCTCATACATCTGGTGGGTTTAGACACCTGAATGAACCTAGATGAAGTACAGTCTGAGTTGCCATCATGCACAAGTAGAGCTGCTCTCGGACTTTTCTGTTCTTTGTGAACCCTACACGTTTAAATGACTTGAACCTTCTCTTTTAAAGTTGTTTTTTGAGGTTCCTTGGCATTTTATCCTAGTTGTCCGTGTTTGGCAATGTGATGTTATAGTAATAGACTTTTAATCTTTATGTATTTTTTTGTTTTCCTTTGGAGTACTTGGACAAATGTTATAGTGGTTTCTTTTAGGAAAATCTGTCATTTAAAAAAATTATAGCCTTGAAAATAACTACTCACCGTATTTATGTCACAATTTATTCTAGTGCTGACTCATTTATTTTGTACCTATATACCTACTGGGAAAGGAGGAAGAAAGATGTTTTAAAAAGAAACAAACAGAAACCTAACAGAACATAACTTATGGGGTGGCAAATTTGTGGTGCTTATGTGTAAGGCTGGATGTATTTGTTTATGAGGACAATTGGACCATTTATGAAATATGACTCAAAGCAGTCGAATCCTATTGCACTGGTTAGTAGCCTGTTTACTCAGTAATGGATAATGAAATAAAAATATTAGTTCCATTTTATGGGGAGAGTAAATTCTGTAGAAAGGCAGTTCCAAGTTTGGCTGAAAGCATGATCACACAAATAGTCCTTTTTCCAAGATAGAGCTAGGACTTTCTTTTCATACATAAGAAGCTAGGTTAAAGTTTGTTGGCAGCAATTTTGTCTAACCTAATAATGGCACCAGCCACCCTATTTCTGTGTTGTTGCCATCCATTCCAGCTTCCTTTCTCATGGTCCCGTGAGAGACACAGCTGGTGGACCTGCACACCACAGACTCTTTTCTTGACTAAACCCCTGTTTTCTAATTCACAAATCAAGCCCTGCATTAGATTTGAGCTATACACTTGCTAACATGACTCAATACATGAGCATAAGGAGGTGAAAGAATTGATGTTTTGACTTAATCAGACAGTCCTTCATAGGAACTACCCCACACATAATGCAATATGAGGTATAAGGCTTGAAATAAATTAGAAATAACAATAGTTTGCCTTTTTTGAGCCCCTCTTAGATAAAACAATGTGTATATCAGCTATTTTTAAATCTATATTAATCTTAATCATTCTGTGGGGGAACATTCTATTCTCATTTCAAAGATTAGGAAACAGGTTCAAAAAAGTTATGATACTGCTATTAAGTGTAAAAGCCAGGACTCAAATCCAGTCTTGACTCCCAACGTTTAAACTGTTAACCACTACTCTACTGGCTTCATTGTCAGAATCCGGGCTAATTCTTCTTGACTATACCTAGAAGGATGATGAAGGGAACAGCAGACTTCTATCCTGCTGCTTACCACCTGTATGTCATGAGGGTGAGGCATGAATTCCCAGTTCTGTTCCTCCACTTGCTGCACTATTGACTGCAAATATGAGTTCCTCTGGTTGGGAAGTTTCTCATATTATTACTAAAACTAGAGGCCTGGTGCATGAAATTCATGCATGGAGGAGGGGGAACCCTCAGCCTGGCCTGCACCCTCTCACAATCCAGGATCCCTTGGGGGATGTCCAACTACTGGTTTAGGCCTGATCCCACAGTCAGACATCCCTCTCACAATCCAGGACCACTAGCTCCTAACTGCTGGCCTGTTTGCCTGCCTCACCACCCCTAACCACTCTGCATGCCTGCGTCATCACCCCTAACCACTTACCTGCCTGCCTCATTGTCCCTAACCATTTGACTGCCTGCCTTCCTGATTGCCCCTAACTGCTTGCCTGCCTGCCTGATCACTAACGACCTCTGCCTCGGCTCCTGCTGCTGCAGCTTTGTCTGGAATAATGTTGGGAATGACGTCCGGAAGGTTGTTTGCCTGTCCAGTCTAATTAGCATATTATGCTTTTATTAGTATAGGTGCCTGTGTCTCTGAGCTTGTGGGCTAGGAAATCTGGCTAACATCATGCCTTTACACTCCAACTTCCAACATTTTCGCAAAGGGGCCCATGTCTTAGGGCAGAGCTTATGGTTCTGAACAATGACTCTGTGACCACATAGTTTGGTATAATAGAAAAACTCCAGGCTTTGGAGCTACACAGACCCGAGTTCAGATTCAGACTTTGCTACTTGCTCATTGTGTAACATTGGCCAGTTGCCCTTTCCACTTTCTTAGCTGTAAAGTTCATTTATTTAAGAAATAGTTGAGTGCTTACTTTGTGCCACACACGGTGGATACAACAGCAAATAACAGTAGTCTCTGCTCTCACAGCATATTCTATAGGAAATGCCAACAGCTATCTCCAGTTAGGAATCATTCATGCAAGAAAGACTGATTGCCTTCTGGTAGGGGAATATCTATCTTAAATAATCAGCAAGTACATCAAATACAATAATCATAAGGCTATGATGGAAAACCACAGGAAGCCGTGAGTAGGGACTGAGGTCTGGTGGTAGGAGAAGAGGGAGGATTTTCCTGACCAAGTGATATGTTAGCTTAACCCTCAAGAGTAAGTAAAGGGTCCACCAGATGAAGGGGGTGAGGATGAGGAACATGCTAGGCAGAGTGAACAGTGACAGCCCTCTACCTACACTTGATCTTCCATCCAACATTCAATCAAATAGTTATTGAGTGACCAACATACCATGTACTGTGTTATATCCATATAGTGAGGAATAAATGCATGTAGGCTCCACTCATACCACTTGCATATTAGTGTGGAAAACAAGATATAGTAACCAAGAATCACCTGGAACACAAACCTGCCCCTCAACTTTCTCTCCTTCAGCTCTCTCCCACTGCACCTCTCAGGCAACTCCACACCCTCCTCTGGAAAGCACCCTTCAGAACTTTGGAAAGAGGAGCTGAGTCTTTCCACCCTCCAGGCTTACAACCTCAATCTGTTCCTTTCTTCCAGACATATACCAGAAGATCATTGTTCTAGACATTTATGAATGCCCTGAAGACCATATTGGCTTTCTGTTTCAGTGGCCACTTCCCCCTCATCTTATGGTGGCCTGCCACCAGAAAGTGGGCCAGCCCCCTGCCCTCATGGACCTTACATTCCGGTCAGCCATAAATAAACAAATATCCATAAAGCAATGAGATTGGGATAAGTGAGAAATAGGAAATGTGGTAGAGGGAGATAGGGACAGGACAGGTGTGGGAGGGCTTGTCAGATGGCCTTGCTCAGGAGGTAACAGTACCAAGGCTTGAAGGAGCTGGGCAGGCAGAGAATAGAGGAAGAGTGCTGGAAAGGTCTAGTTTAGGGTAGATACTCAAAGAATGCTTGTTGAGGGGACTGAAATGTCTCCCTGACCTTTATTGAGTTGGAGTTTGAAGGTCAGCATGGTAGCATAGGAGTGATACAATCCACAGTCCTAGCCGTGTCTGCCATTGGGTGCTTTTAGGAAGCTTTAACCCTCTGAGCCTTTTCTTTCCTTTAAAAAATGATGACAGTCCATTGATTCAGTAAACATTTATTGAGTTACTTTCATATGCCAGCACTGTGGTAGGTACTGGATTATGATCCAGCCTCAAGTAGCTGCCAGGTCTGTCTAGGGAATCAGATGAAGTGATATACATTGAAGCATTTTGACCAGGATTCAGAAGGCTCTTGAAACTGAGGTTGAGTATTCTGTGATGTCTTGCTGATGAGGTGCTATATGAATAAAATATGGAAAACTTTTCACACCATGCTTCTACTGTGGGCTGCTTTCCTACAGAAACTCCAGTTCAGCGAGTTGGAGGTATCCCAAGCGGTTGCCATGGCAAAGACTGAACCCTGAGACCTGGCTTAGCTGGGACTGTCATGGCTGCAGACTGAACTCCATGAGACCTGACAGTTTCTGGCCAATTCTGTCTGCCCAGTGAAAGAGCCATATCTTTACCATGCACTCATTCTGCAATTTCAGCTTGGGAGTTCTGCCCTTGGTGTCCTAGCTGGACACCGGGCCTGCTCATTTTCCATGTGATGCTGTCTGATGGGCACTAAAGAGATGCAACTTTAGTTTTGCATGTTATTTCTTTTGCAGTGATGGAAAATTGCATTGAAGGCTGTGTGAGTGCTTCTTGGAAACAAGGTTTAATTTCTCCAGATTTGTTGGAACTGAAGTGATTCACTGTGTTTTTAAATTCTAATCCTACAAAAATTGCTTGAGAAGTATTCAATTCTTGGTTGCTTTGGGAGTCATGAGGCTTTATTGCATGATTTTTTTTATTTTGTTCATTTGAATTTCCTATACAGCTGTGTTCCCATGTGGACTAAGCCAAAAGCATGTGAGCTGTTGTTTTCATTTGAAAAATCTGGAAGTCTTCTGTCAGATAATGGAAGATGCCTGGTTTTTCAATCTTAGAGCTTGTTTAGTATGAGATTGCAAGATAATGACAATTGGACTCCCATTTGTGCTACAAAAAAAAAATGAACATAATCGTGAAACCTCAGCAATCACAGTTCCATTTTCTAAACCAAGAGGTTGATATTTAAGGATTCCAGTCAACTAATCTGTACTCACTAACTTCCGGTCACAGACACTGAGTACCTCACATGGGCTGTGCGCTGGGCCAGGCACTAGTGGCACAGAGGTGACTAAATCATTATTTTGATCTAAAGGCAACTGTGGCCAATTAGGTAAAAAGTATTTCAATTGTATGAAACTCATTAGAAACTGATTGCTGTATGGAATTCAGGTCCCTCCCTAATTGTGGTATATACTTGCCAAAATAATGAACCCCAAAGATGACCACACTCTAATCCCTGGAGTCTGTGAATATGTTGTTACATGGCAAAAGTAATTAAAGTTGTAGATGGAATTAAGGCTGCTAATCAACTGATTTTGACACAGGGAGCTATTCCTGTATTATCCAGGTGGGTCCAATCTAATCACACAAACCCTCCAAACTTTCCTGGCAGTATTCAGAGAAAGTGATGTGATGACAGAAGCAGGGTCAGAGAGATGCTACGTTCCTGGCCTTGACAATAGAAGAAGGCGGCCCCTAGAATCTGGAAAGGGCAAGGAAAAGGTTTCTCCCTTAGAGAACACAAGCCTGCTGACACTTTGGTTTTAGCCCAACAAGAATCTGTGCCAGACCTGTGACCTACATAACTATAAGATGACAAGTGGGTGTTGTTTTATGCCACTGAGTTTGTGGTGATTTGTTACAGGGACACACTGACTTGGAGGGAGAGGTGTTGTCTATGTTATATGCAGTTGTGAATGCCTGCTCTGTGTTAGGCACTGTGAATGGTGCTGAGGATACAAAATTTAACAAGATCCAGAGTCCACAGTCCAGTGG